ATGAAGACATTTATGGATGTTTAGATTTTCTAAATGTCAGTGGGGTCCGGAAATGTGCCCTGGCGCCTTTAGAGAAAAGGCTAGCTACCTAGCCAAAACCTCCAGGACCACTTCTGGAAGGCGCAGGGGTTCTCTTCTGTGGGAAACAGACCAACACCAGACCCGTTCTCCTGAGAGATAAGAGAAGGGACTTCGGAAACCAGTGTCTGGCGGGACTAGGTGTAACCTGGAAAGACCCTGCAGCCAAGTCCAGAGGGAAGTCTGCCCACACACAGACAATGGAAGCCTCAGAGGGGAAGCTTCCTGGAGGGTCGGAGGAGGGAGGATGGGAGTGTATTTTTGGAGTAGTTGAGAAAAGAAAGGGAAGAGCCACTTTCTAGTCCTTTATTTATGAAATCGCCAGCCCTCACCCATACCCACTCATCCAAGGGCCCCCCCCAAAAAAGAGGGTGGTGGGAAGGCATTGGCTGGGAAGCCTTGGAATCCTGGTTGCGTCCCTTCCTCAGGGGAGGAAGGAGAGATGCAGCACCCCAATTCCCAGAGTAGAATCCATTCCCTAAACTCTGTGAGCCACACAGGGTCCTCCTTCAATGGTGGGAACCCCTCAGAACAGTGAACTCAGGGCAGCTATATGCCCAGCCCCCAGCTGTGGTGTGACATAGGTGTGCCACAGAGCCCTGGGGGAGTGAGGGCACATGGGGCCAAGGATGGTGAGAGTGTTTGGGGGACAACTGTGCATGGGTGTGTGTGAGGGAGGTGTTTCTGTGCATGGGAAGTTGAGTGTACAAGGAAGTGTGTGGGTGGAGGGGAGGTAGACGTATGTGGAGATGGGGGACAAGGGGAAGCATTGGGATGGGAGATGTGTGAGCAGAAGGTGTGTGGGCATGTGGGTGGGGCTAAGGAGGTGAGGTGGGGTGCACTTGAGGGGCAAAGTGTGTGGGTGGAGGGGTGTGGAGGTGGGGTGCATGTGAGGGGATGTGTGGATGTATGGGAGGTGGGGTGTGTGTGAGGGAAAGTGTATGGGTGGAGGGGTGTGGGATGGGGGTATGAGTGAGGGGAATATAGGGGTGCATGGGGGTGTGAGGGTGCATGTGAGGGGACGTGGGAGGTGGTCGGAGGGTGAGGTGAGCATGCGGGAAGGGCAGAAGAGAAGTGGAGTGTGGGGGTGGGGAGTGACTGGGTGGCCAGTCCTGTCGTAGTTGCACAACCTGGCTGATGGATCTATTTAACCTGAAAAGGAAGAGAAAACAAAAAAATAACGTGTGTGTTATTAATTTAACTGAGAGAAAAATAGCCCTGAACAGATGAGCAGAACAGGATTTAATGAGGTTTGATGTGGAACATGTTTTAAATGCACAGTGTAGAGAAGAATGGAAATCAGCTGGGGAGATG